TTTCAGTTCTCTAATTAAAATCAATTTGATTCTCATGAGCAAGAAAAGTGTGAGCAGGTGGGTAGAAGAGATAGCACATGTCTCTTGTAAGAAAAATGGAAGGAAAGACAAAAGATAGTATAGCCGCATCCAGACATGCCGGGGTGTGTGCTTGCAGTGCTACAAAAAGTAGTGGCACAAATTTGTGCCTCTACTTTGTGCCTTAGCGCACATCCCTGCACATGTGCTTTGTTGCGGGACACATTGTGTCGCTTTGGGCAAACTGGAGCAGCAGGGGCACAAATGGAGCAGTAGAGACGCTCTAGCCAGCAGCCAGAGCATCTCACTGGAGGACCAATCCTCCGTTTGTTCTGGCGCATGCTATTTTTGCATTCTCAGTGCCCCCTTTTTCCCTGCACTTTTTTTTTTTTTGCTACAGTGAAATGCCAGTAGCAAATTTTGCTCCAGTGCTGCAGATTTGCAGCATGGGACATGTTTTAACGTTTCACATATGCAGCTTGTGGCACTGCAAACTCCACGTGCCTGCACATCTGGACGTGACCTAAGAGGTTAAAATAATAGGGTAAGAAAAGAAAGTGGATATAAGCAAAAGAAGTGTGAGGAGATGTAAGTGGCTGGAGGTAGAGAAAAGGAGAAAACTAAAGACGGGGTGACTAAAGGCAACTTGGAAAAATGACCAAAAGAAACAAAGGTTAGAACAGAAGCAAAAGAGAGAGTATGAGCTGCTTTAAAATGTATGAAGAGAAAGTTGGTTGATAGTACAATGCAATTCACAATGAAGAGTAGACAACTGCTTTACTGCTTTAAATTGCAGCAGATCAGATTTAGGGTTGTAGCTCCATTGGGTGAGAGCCTGGGAATTTTCTATCCTGGCCAGTGGAATAGTTGGTTTTACATATGGTTTTTAGGGCCTACTTTGTTTTAAACTTTCTTAAACATATTTTATTATAATTTATTATTACCATGGTGCATCTGTCTTGCAAAAACAGTATGCCTTAACTAGTTTTCTTCTCCATCCTAATGGGCTGGATATGCTGATTTAATATGCAAGTGCACATTCATTGTGTGCACTGAATTCCCCAAGCACACAGCCATAATAAAAATTCTATATGGGAAAAGTTGAATTTTTTCATTTACTTTTGCCCTGAAGGAACATAAGCAAAATTGTGATTTTCATTAAATACGGCATGTGTTGTTATGAGCTAATTCTTCTTCTGAATGCTGTGAGTAGAGCTACAATGATTACATTTATTTCTCCAGCAGATTTCTTGCACAGAGCATATCATTCAGTTGCACAGAATACACCAGTTTTTTTAGTAAAAATATAATTAAGAAAATTGAAAACATAATTGCTGGCATTTAGCCTTAAAAATTAGTATGGAGACCTCTTGCCTTCCCTGCGTGATAATAGAAGATTAGGTTTGCATGCACACAAACACATGTGCACACACTAATCAGAGTGGGGTGGAGGCTTGACTGTCCATCCTGGTTGAATTCTCCTTTTACACAGGGAAGCATTCTATGTTGTGGCAGGAGTTTCCACAAGTGTGGCACCCTTTCCACAAGTGTACGTGTATAGCCTTGTTACATTTTTCTTTTATTTTTCTTTGGGTAAAATGTGCCAGATTCTCTCCACTGGCAATATCTGCTTGGCACAGGAAGTTGAGGGGCCCATGGAGCTGGTTGTGACTCAGTTCTTTTGCTGTTCCAGCTCTGAGCCTCACCCTGACCCAGTTGTAAATTAGAGCTTGTTGAAGCCCCACCATTTCCTTCTCTTGCCAGATCCCAGTACCAGAAGTGGGAAGTTGGCGTAGGAACTAGCTGATAACGCCCTCCAGCGGTAGGATTTTTGGCTGGCTGGTTGCAACCAGATTACATACTCTTTATGCCCCCAGTTCTACCAGGCTTGGACTTGAAAATACGGCCCAGTGACTTTCAGGATTGCAGTAGTGGTAGGAAAAGATAATGCAACTGGCATACGGCATGTTCATACTCTGCCAATTGGTAATTCATGCTGACCCAACCTATGAAATAGAAGGTATTGTTCAGGTTGTGTTCCTGATTTTTAAAATGTGTTTTACTGTTTTCAAAGACTTAGTCTTGAAGCAAAAAATGCAGACATTTTTCTCCACATCTCAAGAGCGAAAGGGTCAATAATCCAGAGAGACGGGGAATTGTAATGTATCATTCTGGTTTGGAGGCTTGAATGATTTAAATGTCATTGATGGAATTAGGGAATCTTCCACCTCTGGCTCAATGACAAAAAGTTATGAAAGCTATTATTACACGGTTGTGGCTGTTGAGTGGGTTGTGCTGGTAGCCTCAGTGTGATTCATGATGGTCGGGTGTTCACATCGTGAATTCTACCATACGCAGCTGGCACCAATTTGTGCCTCCTTCAGCAGTCTTAGGGAATGGCAACAGGTCTTACTACTACACCCTAAATTGGTCCTGGCACAACCAGGGGGGCACACTGACAGGGCAGTGTGGAGAAGTTTCTTTTACTGCTGCTCATGCTGTGTAACCGTTAAATAAATAAGAGGACTTAAGTCTCCAGGCTAATTTAATTTGAAGTCTTTCATAGTACTTAATATACTTTATAAGGAAAAAACATTAAGTCTATAGTTCCCTTGTGGAAGAAAGGTGAAAGGTATTAGAAGTGATCAATAAGGATAGGTAGTAGCAGTATTTGGGATGGATGAGTGGGGTATCAGCCCCAGCCACTGAGTTTGAGTGAAGCATAAGGTGTTAAAGTGTTGAAGAAAATGAATAGTAAAGAAATGTCTGTCAAGAATTGTACCAGGAGGACTGCTGTGCTTTGAAGAACGGTTGGTTAGGGACATCTACTGGTATGATAATGTAATCGCTCTTTGCAGTATTTGCAAACTGAAGCTGCACTTTGTGTTGGAGTGATTGAAGATAAGATTGCATGAAAATATATTGAATACAAAAATGACCCAATGTGACTAATAAGAGAAATAGCTCCAGCTGTAGGTAGCCTACCTTGAAGTTAGTTGGGCAAAACAGTTTCTGTGCATGCCATCAGTCGTAGGTTCAGGGCCTAACTTCTGATACTGGAGTAGGATGTGTTAGAGGAGGTGGTGTCAAACTTCCCAGGTAATGGCTTGCTGTCGGACTTTTTGTACAAACCATTTAGGCCTCATATTTAGATGTTGGTAACTCCATACAATAGATTTCAATGGTGAGGTCACCCAGAAATGCGTTAAGCACCTAAATACCTTTATGAATCTGGCCTTTACTTTTTATGTCTGTTTACCTTTCTGTAAAACCAGTATTGAAATTCTTAGCAGATGTATGCAACAGGTGTGTTGTCTGAGTCCGAGAAATATTTTTGACTATTCACTTAAAAGGCCCTATATAAATTCAAAATATTATTATTAATGTTACTTCTTATATTTTGCAAGGTGTCAAGAATACCTACAGTTCTGTATCAAATATCAAATAGGATATGTATTTTAAGGGACAGCAGTTTTTAGAAGGGTAATTATTTTTAGGTTTACTTCCCTGACACTGTATAACTGTGCTTGATCTTTAACTGGAGCTATGCACATGGTGTCAAGATTAAATCCCTTTAAACATGTGTGTTTGATGTCTTACCCTGGTGAAGCAATTCCCAAGGGAACTTAATATGTTGTCATCTCTCACTAAGAGCACATGGGCCTTAGGCTGCCAGCTCTTTGGACTTTGTCAATTTGAGACCTTCTTTCTTCAGCATAATATGTCCAGAAGTTTTGGGACAAGTTGTCTTATGTTCACACTCACTTGAATGAAGGGGAAAAATGCACAAGGAAGCTCTTCTACCTCTTTAGTACATATTATCAGGACAGCAATAGAGAGTCTGTGGGGGCAAGTCTGTAGCAGCCACTAGATTTAGTAAAACCCTGTTTAGGAAATAACAGTAAAATATTCCCTGGAAGGTGCTTCTAGAGTCTCTTGAGGCAGTTTGGTCTGTGTTGGTATCATGGCACAGCTACAGTCTTTAACCATAGCTATTCTCTTTGGCTGCTACCATTAGGGCAGGATTTTCTTTTGTTAGTGCGTGCTGTGTTCTTTAGAGGACAAAATAAATGTGATAATATTTTATGTTCCAAGTGTTTTGTGAGCAGCACGTTTTCACCACGATCCATGTCCCTCTGACTTACATTCCTATAAAAAGAAAAAAAAATGCAAACAGAACAGCTCTTTGCTTCCCAATCAGCATTACCCTGGTACGCTGAGACGTCTTCCAGGAAGAATCCATAGCAGCTGCAGGCTCCAATTGCAGTCACATGCCCACTGCAGAAAAATGCCTAAATCCTACAATTCCAGCTGCCAGTTAAAGAGCTAGAGTCAAGTTGTGTGTTGTGCCCCAATCAGTTTTAATATTTACACATAAAGAGCTTTATATTCAGGCTCAGCTACCACATAATTGGCCTGGCGTACCTTTTGCTAGGTGTTTTTTCCCCCAAAATATGGATCACAGGATTCAGCCCCATGTGAGGAAGGATGCTGCACTGCAAATCAGATAACTCTTTTGGAAAATTCATTGCCATGTTTTGAAGAAAAAATGGTGTCCAGAGCACTTCTCAACACTTGTCGTCCCTTTTAGTAAGCTTGCACTATGTCAAGATTATGATAGTTATTTAATGAAATAACAAATCTTTAACCACCCATGATTTCACATCATTTCTGCCGTAGATCTTGGTCAGTATTAAGCTCACAAACAAAAAGAAAAGAACCTTTTTGCTTTAAAAGCTCTTGCTAAAGGAGACTTTGAAACAAGGGTATCTGGCTTCCAGATTCAGGTTCCAAGAAGTTCCAAGGCCCACAGTACAGATATTAATATTTTATTACCATATTTGTTACACCATCATTATTTTCCATTCCTGGGAAACTGTTGTCCTGTTAGGGAATTTTTATGCCAGTATTTAAACTATGAGTTGTTGTTTTTTTTTAATGTTGCCTGCAAAGCAAAACAAAGTATCTTTTTTGTGTTTCAGGTGCAAAGATGGCTTGAAAGGATTTACATATTCTGCACTTAAGTAAGTAAATAGCTGCCTTTTATCTCAAATTTCCTCTCTGTACACTGGTAGCTGAATTTTGTGAACCCAGAATTTTCTTAGAGGCCATACTGTTATAAAATCTTTCATGCACATTTCAAAAAGAGTATAGCATACAATTTGCAAGAGGGAAAACTTTCTAATTTGTGACTCTCTAAAAAGAACGTGAGAAAAATTAACGTGCAGAGGTATAGCCATAACACTCACTCTTCCAGAGCTAAGAATCACGATTCCCTTCGTTGTATTGGAGTGCCATGGCTACTGTAGCTTGTCCTGAGTCCAGTTCATTTATGATGCTTTGTACTAACAAAGTTCTCTGAATACAGAAACTCCATTTAATAGGCACCAAACCCAGGCACATACTGAAAGCGTGGAATTTTATAATGAAAAATATGGATGGAAGGACCTCAGGCCGTCATCTAGTTCAACCCCCTGCTCAAAGCAGGATTGTTTGTCTAAACTGTCCCAGACAAATGTTTATCTAATCTGTATTTAAACTTGTAATAACAGTCTCTCCAGTGCCTAACCACGTTTCTAGTGAGAAAGCTATCTGTATGCCAGTCACTCTTGCAGCACCCTCATCCAGGCCAGCCAGCAATGTGTTCGGGGTTCCCAACCAGTTTATTTTACATGAGACAGCCTTGTCCCTGCAGTAAATGAAACAAGCAAGTGTGAAAACCAAACCAAACCCTGCCGCCTTTCCTCAGACCTTGAGAGGGGCAAACCAGGCTCGGGGCCTCTTCCTGAGCAGGACAACCACCTCTCTTCTCTCACCTTGCACTCTGCTTCTGGAAATCTTAACCTTTTTTGTGGCTGCACCCTCATTTATCATCATTGCTCCCAACCTTCTGCCCACAGAGTCAGCTGCTGCCTACCTGCAGCTGGCTTTCAGCACCTCCTTACACCCTCGTTATTTAACCTAAAGACTATTACTTTCTTGTCCTGATCCCTTTGGGTGCAAAGAGCAATTTTTATAACAGCCCTTTTAAAATATCAGATTCCCCATCAGTCTTCTCTTTCCCAAACTGTCATCCCCATTTTTCAAACCTTTCCTCAAATGTCATGTTTCTAGATCTCTAATCATTTCTGTTTGTCTCTTGTGGACTTCCTCCAATCTTTTAATATCTTTCTCAAAGCACCGTGATCAAAACAGGTGTGGTCTCATCAGTGCTGAATAAAGTAGAAGAATCACTTTCTGTGACTTGCATATAATATTCTTGTTAATGCATCCCAGAATGCTATAAGATTTTAATTGCAACAATGTTTCCTCATTGGCTCATATTCAGCTTGCAGGTCTCTATAATCCTGGGTCCTTTTCTGCAGTATTGTGGCCTGGTCAGTCGCATCCATTTTGCATCTTTGTGTTCGATTGCTCTTTTATTTGCAGTTTTCCTTACTGAATTTCATGCAGTTTATTTTAGACCATTTTTCCAATTGACCAGGGCATCTTGAATCAAATCCTGACTGAGTCTCACCTGTCTGTTTCCCCTCCCTCCTTATTGTTATCTGTAGATATACTATATAGACATTCAGTTCAATCTATTGTATCATTAATGAAGATATTGAATAATAGTGGATCCAAGACAGACCCTTGAGGAATCCCACTTGGCTTGTCCTCTCACTGATATTGAGCCATTGATGACTACCTTTGGAGTGTGATTTGTTCCACTTTGGGATGGTTATGGCTAGGTCTGTGTGTGGGTAAGTCTTTGTTCTGCTATATCAGAAACCTGGGTTGTACTTCTAGTTCCTTCAGAAGTTACTTTGTAGTGGGGAAACCACACCTACACCATTAGGGCCTGCACAGATTCACTTCTCTACAAGCAGGTGAATAGTCAGCAGATGTGGATTCATGTGTGTAGCAGGACACTAAGGTGCCTGCTACTCTCAGAGCAAAGGCAGGAACCCAGGTGCCGGTTGCCGGGACAATTGGTTAAGGAGGGAATTGGCCGCACCTGCACCTGGTCAGCTGACCGGAAGGGGCAGGGCCTGGCTCCCACGTAAACCCCAGGCCTGAGGCCAGGAGGGCTGTTCCCTGCTGGCAGCCAAAGGGAAAGAAGCTCTGCCTATGTGGAAAAGAAAAGAGGCCTGACTGCACAAGCAGCTCCTGATGCTGTTATGGGATGGAGTATTCCCTGGTGGGTATTGAATGAAGTTTTAGCTGAGCAGCTTGGATTTTTGTTATAGCCTAGGGGCTTTGTGTTTGTGTTTGCTTTTTGACCGGTGCTTTGGGAGAAGCTATTAGGGGTTGGAGGAGGCCTTATATGGGACGCACAGCAGCGTGGAGATCCCAGCCCCAGAGAGAGGGGGCAGCGAGCGCCAGTGAAGGCACAGTGCCAGACAGGGCTGCAGAGAGCCCAAGAGCCAGGAAGGCTGAACAAGGAATGGATGTTGCACATTTGTGGGAAGACGAACATTTCCAGTTGCAGCAGAGTCGGGAGGCAGATTTTTGGTATGCGCTGCAGGAACACCTAGCCCAACGAAATGGCGAGGTATTGAGACCAGAGCTGATGAAGACAACCCCGAGGTTCGAGGTAAGAAACGACCTCCTATACTGAATTGAGCAAGCGAAGCCAGAAGGAGGGGAGGTCGTACAGTTGTTGGTACCTCGGTGATATCGACGGGCCTTATTGAAGGTGGCTCATGAGCTCCCTATGGGTGGACATTTGAGCTGGGACAAAACTGAAGCCCGCATTCGAGCAAGATTTTTTTGGCCAGGACTGTTGCAGGAAGTGGCGAGGTATTGCGCTTCATGTCCCATGTGCCAAAAAGTGAACCCAAGGCACCCCCCAAAGGCTCCTTTAATCCCGTTGCCTCTGGTAGAGGTTCCCTTTGAGAGGGTGGCTGTGGACATTGTGGGGCCGCTTCCCCGAAGTAGCACTGGGAACTGGTACATACTAGTTTTACTGGATTATGCAACTAGGTACCTGGAAGCTGTGCCAATGCAGACCGTGTCCGCATCAAACGTGGCAAACGAACTTTTGAAGACATTCTCCTGAGTAGGACTCCCTAGAGAACTACTGACCGACCAGGGAACGAATTTTATATAACGCGTATTTGAGGGAGTGAGTAAAGCTTTGGGGATTGAACACCTGAAGACAGCCGTGTATCATCCCCAAACAGACGGGCTCGTGGAACATTTTGATCAGACACTGAAACAGATGCTAAAGAAGTTTGTGGTCAAGAGTCCTCAGAATTGGGATAAAATGATACCACCTTTGTTGTTTACTGTAAGAGAGGCACCCCAGGCCTCAACAGAGTTTTCACCCTTTGAATTATTATACGGCCAGCAACCAAGGGGAATCCTGGATCTAACTAAAGAGAGTTGGGAAAAACAGCAGAGTAAAGACCAAAACATGATCCGATACATGATCCAACTGCGGGAACACCTGGAAGCAGCTCCAAAAGAGGTTTTAGGAAATCTCAGAGAAGCCCAGCAATGACAAGTGAAATATTATAACTGAGGCGCCTGGGAAAGGAAGTTTGATGTGGGGGACTGCGTGTTGGTTCTATTGCTGGACAGTGAGAGTAAGTCACTTGCCCGGTGGCAGGGACCCTATGAAGTTACGCACCAAGTGGGGCCCATAGACTCTGAAGTGTATCGGACAGATAAGCAGAAAAAGAAACAGGTATACCATGTTAATATGTTGAAAAAATGGGAAGACCAGGAGTGTATGTACTTAGCCCCTCATCCTGAGGAATTAGAATCGGGACCCGCGTTAACCAAGGGAAGTGGACCAGGTGACGTAGAACTGGCCCCACGACTGTCAGAACAGAGAAGACAGGCTGCCGAGCTAGTCAGGGAGTATAGAGAGGTGTTCCAGGGAACCTCTGGGGAAGCTCAGGGTGTGGTGCACTGGATAAAGACTTCTCTGGACCAGGTGATCCATGAGAACTGGAGACAGATTCCCCAGTGATTTCAAAGCCAGATAAAAACGGAGATTGCAATGATGCTAGAGAAAGGTATCATATGCGAATCTCACAATGACTGGCGGAGCCCCATCATAGCAGAAAAGACAGGCCTAAGTGGCACCCTACCAAGGCTGGCTAATGTGAGGGAGGATTACCTGCAGCAGGGTAACCCCTAACAAATCCCACATGGTGTGACCTTGGGGAAAAGGTGAGTAGGAGGCGCCTGAAAACCTCCACTTTCTGAGTTACCGGGTGACCAAAGAAAGGCCCAGAGAAGCCCAGGATCAAGGTGGTACCTGCAAACGTGAGGACCCACCCGGGTGAGTGAGGGCCTTAAGGAGGGAAGGTGTGTAGCAGGACACTAAGGTGCCTGCTACTCTCAGAGCAGAGGCAGGAACCCAGGTGCTGGTTGCTGGGACAATTGGTTAAGGAGGGAATTGGCCACACCTGCATCTGGTCAGCTGACCAGAAGGGGCAGGGCCTGGCTCCCACATAAATCAAGGCACAGTACCAGACAGGGCTGCGGAGAGCCCAAGCGCCAGGAAGGCGCGGAGTGTGACAGAGCGAGATAGGGCTGTGGAAAGCTCAGGGAGGACAAGGGGAGGGCCAAATTACAAGGCCCCAGATCAAACCACATCAGTATCATCTGTGAAGCTTGGGCTGCGGTGTAGGGGGAGAAAAGAAGCCGCAGATAATGCCCCCTAGCAGCGGGGCAGAAAATGGGCAGCCTCCCACTTAATTACAAAAATTAATCAATTAAGATCAAGGCATGGCAGGCGAGAAGGCAGGCAGTTGACCCATGACAGGAGGGGAGGGTCACTGATACAAGGACTCCAGAAGAGGCACTCCTGTCACAATGTGTCAACTATGTGCTTTGGCTTCCTATAGACTTTTGAAACAAGTTAAAAACCTTTGTCTTTATTTTAATTTGTGGCTTGTGCCCTAATCTCTAAAGCAGTGGTATTCAAACTGTGTTCCCCAGAGCCCTGGGATTCTGCAGTAGGTCATCAGAGAGATTGAGCCTAATGTGAAGGTGGGCTGGAAGGCAGTGTGCCCCCATTGTTGGGCTGCATCACCTGGCTCTGCATCAGCTCACATGGCCCACAGTCCTAGGGAATGCATGGCAGAAGTGATATGAAAAGGCCCTGTGACTTTAGGAAGTTTGAAAACCACTGCTCTAAAGGATCACCTAAAACTCCAGGGTGTTACTTTATGGTCAGTGTCTACACTCATCTCTGCAGGGGATAGAAGTCTCTCAGAGCCAGTCTTAGGCTGCTGAATGAAATCCTGCAGCATTTAAGTATCATCCCAAACCACAGGAGCCTTCTGCTTCACATGTAAGGTATGTTACTTGACCTTGCTTTCTTGTAGCACTAATACATACCAGCAAAGATATTTAAAAAGAACCCTTAAAAACAGATACTCCCCAAACATATGATTGAAGTAACAGCTTGCTGCACAAGCTTCTGCTACAGGAAGCCAACAGCATATTTGATATAATTGTTCAAAGAATTTTTATTCCCATTCCCTTTTCCAGGGCTTATTTCTAAACATTGCTGCCCGTGTGTACTTTACTTCTAAGGTAATTACTAGATTCAGCCCATCTTTTTTTGTTAATTTCAGAAAAATTTTCCAATTTGCAGTTCATTGGAGGTGAAGGGAATACACCTCAGGTGACTTGAGTCATGTGTCTTAATACACTACAGGAAGGTTCAGAGATACTTTGGTAATAAACATGGCATAAGAACCGATCTAGACAAAATAACTTTTCCAAACCTCAGTTCCTATCTATAAATGGGATTCCCATCTAACACGGAGGTTTTGAGGTCATACTCAGTAAGGGTTACAAAGTTCACAGAAGTGGTAAAGTTGTTCTGAGAATTAGAATTCAGAGTCTTCTGGCCTCACCCTTTGTTCCTTCCCCAGACCAAAGATAAGAGGATCTGTTCCATCTACATTCCCTCGTGAGCAATACTTTTGTACTACACACATTGTACTATTATCGTAGTCACAATGTAGACAGTACTCTCAATAGAACATGAGAGCCCTCATGGTGCAGATGAAATGTTGAAGTCAAAACTTTCAGAATTTCACAAGTAAGTGCCTGGCAAGCTCTCCTTCATGCTTCCCAATATTGATTTTAATGGCTTATAGCTTGGCCAGATCTGGTCTTAGATCCTGGGAGACAGAAAAAGGCTGACTCATCTCCCTGCCAGATTTTATAATCTTTGTTCAAACCCCTTTGAAAATGAGCTGTTCAAAAAAGCCTGTTTTTTCATATTGGAAAAGTTGCGTATTTTTTACTTCCTACATTCTCTGAAATGGCTGTCACATTTTTCTCAAAAAAATTTGGGGGTCTGGGATGACCATGATTCTGACTTAGACACCAGGCTTGGAAAACTTCAGTCCAATTGTTTAAAGTTTAACAAAATTTCAAACGACAGATTATAATGGAAAGTATGAGGCGACCTTCTTTAGGGGAACACTCTAAATATGCCTGTAACATACTCTAAAATGAACACGCAGTACTCATTTTACAAATACAGTCCTGATCGTCTGCTCCAGTATTACCCTCTTCTCTTCTGAAACTTCTTGGAGATCTCCTTCACTTTCTCATCTGGTGTTTTCCATTATTAGAGCTGTGTTTGTTTCAGAACACATTGCACTCTTTAGGTTTTTTCTTTAATTTCATTTTTAAAGAGTTTTGTAGTTATCTGTATGAGAATAAATAGAAGTCACTATACTGATTTTTTTCAGACTGGGACATAAGCCTTTCCATCTCCTCAGGATCAATGTTTGGTGCAATCACTGTGTGTGTGTGTATGTGTGTGTGTGTGTGTGTGTGTGTGTATAGTTATATACAAAAGTTACAATTATCATTTCTCTTTTCAATTTCCTTCCAGGTTCATTGTAGGAAAAGAAGAAATTCCCACACATTCATTTTCACCAGAAGCAGCATTTTCAAAAACAGAAAGAAAGTTAAAGCCCTGTGAAGATGTATCACGGCAAATGAATATAATGACTCTGACAAAAAAACTTGTTGACAAAGTGTGAGTCAAAAGGAAAGAAAAATTTCTAAGTGACACTTTTTTTGGTTACTCTAGTTTATATATTTTATGTAACTATGCTATCTTTAATTAGCCTTCAGGTGATTTTTTTTTTAATTCTTATTTTAACAAGTAAATGAAGTAAGGTCTGTTATTCAATAGTGTTACTGTATTTCTATACAAGGATAATTATAAATTTGTTGCAATTTTCCAATTATAGAATGTAATTAGTGGAAGATTGTCTTAATTTCATTCCCCCTCCCCCCACCTTGGCTCCCACTGCTGTGGCGAGGAAAGCAGCAGCTTGGGATGAAGGCCCACATGCCTTCCTCTTGCTCCCCTGTACCTTGTCCCTGCAAAGCCTGCCCCCCACTTGCCCCTTGCACCCTGTGCCTACCCCCCAACTTCTTGCCACCTCCACCCCCTGCTCTCCCCTGCAGCCTGACACCCCATCCCTTGCACATTGTGCCTGTTTTCCCCCAGCCCCCTCTTACATTCTGCCACAGCTCTGCTCCCCAGCCTACCCAGCCCCTGACTGCCCCACCCATGTCATTGCCCCCCCTCCCCCCCTTGCCTTCTGCTGCAGCTCTGCTCCAGATCTGGGGCACTCAGCAGCAGAGAGATCCCAGCCAGGGAGAAGTGGCGATAGCTCTTGGCCAGGCAGGGTCGGGGCTGGAGGGACTGGAGGTGAAGCAGAAGGTAAGGCTGGAGGAGGCAGCTGGGGAGAAGGGAGTAAGAGGAGGTGAACAGACAGAGGCAGAGGGCCAAGTGGTGGGGTTGCAGGCTGCAGGTTCCTCCCCCCAGCCTCCCTGCACTCACCCACTCCAGTCACGTGCCCCTCCCCTGCCAAATGAGCTATTTCAGCCCAGGGTAGGCAGCAGCTCAGCTCTGGCTTCAGGCTGGGACTCAGAACCAAAGCTAGAGCTAAGCTGATGCCTGTTCAGCTAACTGAAATCCAAGACAAGGCTTCTTGTTCCCTTATGCTTATTGGAGGGGGAGTAAGGGGGACCTCATCTTGGATTCAAGGAAACATGTTGGTTTAATA